GGGACGCGAGCCGGCCACACGCGTCATTCCCGCTCGGATCCACTCCCCTGCATTCCACTCCACTCTCAATTTTGCCGGGCAACGTTCATTCGGCCGCGAAGGCTCCAGATTCCGGGGCCGGATGTTTCTAAACAACCCCCCCCATGTTTCTGATGATGCCTTGGGTCACGCATTTTTTCCGATGTTTTCTGATTGCTCTCCTTTTGACCCGGGTAGCAGCAACCTCAATGAATGGTATGACGTTGCCAGATGCTCTGGATGTTTGCTGTGCTGAAATTGACCCAGCGCGAAACCGCACGGACGTCATGCCTTGGGATTTGCCCGAAAGCTGTGTGACCCACGGCAGTTGACAGCAACGGACCAGGCGCGCACCAACGGCACGTGTGGAAAATGTGTGTTTTCTTCCTTATTCTTCCTTGAGAGGCGATGAAAGCAGGTTGCGCATTCAGATGCTTCTGCGTAGGCATCGATCCACAAATGGTTACCTTGTGTGCTTGCCTCAGATCGTGTGACTTGATGCGGGACTAACGTTGATTAGCAACTCGGAAATGTCTTTCAGCGCGATGCCAAGGTGTTGGGCGACAAAGACTGCGAGCAATTCACAGCCGGCTCGCTCGCCAAAACATTTTCCAAAGGGCGCAGGCGGGTTTGCGCGTCGTTGAAGGCTACTGGTTGCGCGTCCAGGCTGTGTGTCTGATTCATTTGCGTTGTTGGCGTTGCAGGATGCGAGGTTGCGGCTGTGATGGTCAGGCGCATTCTGCGATCATTCCGATTACCAGCCGTGCTTTCCAGAAGCAGGTTCCTCCGGGATGCCAGTCCTTGTATGAGGGCCAAGCGGGGGCCAAAGTAAAGCGATCAAATTGCCGTGCCTAGCCTCCCCGGTGAGGTTTTTGCTGCCGGTGACCGCACCCTACGCGTGCTGTTAACGCTTGGCGCTTTGACGGCTGTCAGGCTGCGTATTGCACAAAGCTCCGTTGGGAATCGCAGCGCGCTTGTGACTGAGGCCGGGGCACAGCTTGATCCTCAGAATGCGTTTCAGAACATGTGTGCGTGCGTATAAAATAGTGGTTCAGGGTCGCTGCCTCATGGTTTGCTCAGACTCTCATGTTTCTTCGATCTTGCAACATGGCCAAGGCACGGACAGTGCGTGTTTTGCGTTGGAACACGCCCGCCTGGCCAGCTTTGGCATCCATCGCTGTTGCAACACTTTGCGAGCGAAATTGACTCGGGAGAAAATTGACGTAGACTATCACGTGGAACAGGACAACAGGGTGGAAGCAATCTTCACCGGCGACTCGGTGCTCGGGCTGCATTTGTGGGAATGGAAGGTATCGTTTGATGCTGGATTGCTTGTGATTTGCTTTGGCAAACCCGCAAACTGTAGTCATTTTGTTTTAAACAGCCTCACAACGCCAACAGCGGCTGCCAGGCGACAGGCAACTGTATTGGTGGGAAACCAGTTGAGTTGCACGCACTGCAGGTTCTTGGTGGGCGTACAGCCCGGTTCGGCGACCTTGCTTCCTACAACCAGTCTCTTGGGCGGCTGTTGAGGCGTTTGCCTGGAGCATTCAGAGCCGAGAGAGGTCTATTGCATGGCTTATGGCATTGAAGTTGCAATGGTTTCGCTTCTTCTAGGACAACATCAGAACAGCTCAACAAGTAGGAGGTCAACACGTGCCAGCCCCAATCCGTGCTGCAACGCAGGATCGCCATGGATCAGGGCAACGTGCTTTTGCTGTGTTGCGCTCGGCTTGTCGCAGATGTTGCTGTCCTGGTTTGGGCCATGGGCTGACGGCTGACGTGCGTTTCTGCGCTTTGCATCTTGTAAGGCCAGGGCATGGTGACGTGGTTGCGGCCAGCGACAGTGAAGAGTGCTCCAGCTGGTTTTGGGCTATTTTGGAATGTTAACAGTGGGAAGAGAGTGTTGACGCATGGCAGAATGCCAGAGCCGCGAGGTACCTCCAATCTATCTTGCGGATGCAAAGAACTCGAGAGAAGGCTGGTTTGGAATCAGGTCGTGGCAATTTCAAGACTTCAACGGAGCTTTACGCAAGCAGTTCCACTGCACGGGCAACTTCATGTGCTGAGCCATGAGCCCAATGGTGAAAGCCAGAAGGGTCAAGCAAATCACAATTGAGGCAGGCAACAGGGTGGACTGCAACAGGACTACCCCTGAAGCAACAGTGAAATTGTGGTCATTCGCTGATATAAAGTATTTTTGGTGTTGCCTGGTGCTTCACATGGCGAACTGTTCTCCGGTACGTCTTCTTCTGGGCTGGGGGTCTCTCGTCAGGCTGAGACGTGAACCGCGCAACACGAAATCAGTGCTCTTTAGGCAGTCCCCCAGACTCGGACTGAGAGGTTTTGTTTGGACATCGGGCAATCCAGTTCTTCTCCGACTCTGGCCATGTGCCACTCTAATAAGTTCAACCACTCGCATGTCACGGACGAAACCATCCCTCCCCGTATCTCTCCTCTTGACATGTTGTTTTGCTTGCTTGGCGGCCAACACCTCCTGTTGCCCATTGCCACTAGTGATCACGCCCAACACGCGGCCAGTGTGGTTTTGAAAACAAACAGCTGAACCGTTGAAGATTCATGGGTTTGCAAGGCAGCATACCGTACCGTTCCGCACAGTGCTTCATAGGGAATGGCTCTTGGCCTGGGCCGGCGAGTTGGGACCAGACTCTCCAAGTTTTGGCCTATCACAGCCTCTCGGGTTTGCCCGTTGAGGGCTTCAGGCCGAGCAGCCCGCTTAGCTCGCAGTTGAGGCGGGTGATGTAGGCAGATCTGGAGCCAGGCCATTCTGCGAACGCTGCAGGCCGGGAATGAACTTGGCCGAATTTTTTTTTGGCCCTCCGTGTCCAAATGTGGAAAGGGGGCATCGCCTGTCGCAGGTTTCACCAGGCACGGCCGGAGACTTGTGCAGCATGCTCTATGGAAGTGGTGCTGCAGCTTTGTGGGCGACCAAGTTGGGGGGATGAGGACACAGCTGGCTGGGAAGGGGTTGAGCTTTCTGACCCCTAGCTTTCTCACATCTAGAATTCAAGCTGTTGATTGAATCTTTGTGCTGAGGCATGTGACAATCGGAAAGCTTTGGGAAGACTATGTGTGGACATGAATCCATGTGTCCTTTGCAGTCACAGTCCCGCTGCAGTCAGCGGCATCAAGTATGCAGACGTAGCATCAGACAGATAACTCTGCCTAGGCACTGCAGCCATCAGCGACCGTCGAATTTGCCCCCCTCTCTAAGGATGGCTCAAGATTTGGTGGAGCAGCATTTGGAGGAGCTGGGTTGAAGCAAACAAATCAGACAGTCATGAACATTTTGAGGCAAGGGACCGGCATTCATGCGCACCCTGGCTTAGGGTGTTTGGGCCCATTGAGGCCCAGTTCAACCCTCTCACCGTGAGGTCCTTCATTTCCTTGTTTCGCTCCCCCCCCCTTGCCACCGTGGCCAGTTACTTGCAAGGATTTGCGGGAGCGTGGCCGTGTCAAGCGCAGCGAGGGTGTTTTTGGCAGGCCCGGCCTTGAGCTTTCACTCGACTCGTGTGATGCCAATGTGATGGATTGTATTGCCACCTGGCCATGGGTCAAACCGAGTACCCCCAGTGAACATCCCAATCCCCGCTAAAATAGACTGTGCACCTATCCCAAAGTGGTACCATTGGTTTTGAACCATGGCCACCTAAGAATGGTGCAGCTGAGAATGGAGAAACACTTGCCACCATGAATCAGCCCGGTGCAGTCTTCTTGGCTCCCTGTGGTGTGATGCTGCGTTATTCTCTCCCGACTGAGTGTCAAATCTGCCAGAGATATTTGCCTCGGGTCGGGCAGCAAGCTTGCATTCTGTGAGATCATGTATTGCACGTGGGGCTTCAAGGCAGCTTCCTGCAATGCTTTGTAAGTCCGAGTGAGTGCATGCACAAACATGCGCTGACAGCTGCCGTGCCAGGATATGGTGGGAAGCCGCAAGATTGGTTCCTACTGGTCACGTCAGTTAGTTTCTTGTTTTTTCTAGGTTAATAGGCAGCGGCGACTACAAGGAGGATGGCGGAATCTCAAGGCAATGAACGAGCAGTTCGATAATTCTTCCATCCACACTGCCCTGCCAGCTGAAGTGCCACGTTTGACCATTAAGTGGTTAGACGAGGCCGAGTTCCTTGAAGTGGTTCGAGGCTGAGTTCCTTGACTAATATTGAACGCTCGTGACCTTGGGTCTTGCCCCCAAGGGCCTAAGGACGCACAGCCACTTGAAAGATGCACCCGAATCGCATGCGCATGCGCATGGTCTGTTCTGCTTGGCTTTTGGCCCCCAGGTTGCAGGCGTGCCGCGCATGCTCAGCTGTGGGGGCTCAAGGGAACGCGTGAGCGATTGCATGTCTTGCAGATTGCGTGCCACTTAGCGCACCTCTATCCTTCAGCTTCTCCTTGGGCGTTGAGCCCTGGCCAGACTTGACCTGGACAAGCCACTTTGTTAGCGCCTTACGGACACAACTTCCAGATCCCTTGCCTTGGAGCGTGTGGGGGCCATGACGGCCTTGGTTCCAGAGGTGCTCGGAGAAGATGTGGTTATTGTTTTGTCGGTTTTTCTGCCTTCAACTCTTAGGCTGTTGCTGAATACCTTGAATACGCGGCTGCTTATGCTCGATGGACGGCTTGACTATACAAGAAGGAAGAGTTTCCCGCTGGCGAGTCTTTACGGTTCGTGGTACGGCGCCCTGGTGTGCCCGCTTGTCAGGCGCCTCCACCCAAGAAAATCCACATCCCGCAGAAGGAAATCGCTCGCATCTTGGAATACTCCTACAAGGAATGTGGACTCATGAGGCTTCATAGCTTGCGCTTTCTCCTAAAGGG